TGTATCTACTGAGATGACCATACACTTGAAAAAAATATTTTGTTAATATGATGAATTATATTTACTATTTTCTTCCTTCTACTTAATTTAAGTGTAATTTGTTCTTCTTTTTAAAGAGGAAGTTTAAGGCAATTGACTTAAACCTTTTTCTCCCTTTTCTAATGCAAGCATTTAAAGCTATAAACTTTTCTTTAAGCACTGCTTTAGCCGAATCTCACAAATTTTGGTATGTTTTCATTACCATTCAGTTCAAAGCATTTTCTAATTTTTCCTGTAATTTCTTCTTAGATCCATAGGGTATTTAGAAATTATTTGTTAATTTCCAAATATTCAAGAGTTTTCTTGATATATTTTCATCATTAATTTCTAATTTAATTCTACTGTACTCAAATAACATAGTCTGTATGATTTCAATCCTTTCAGATTTATTGAGACCCACTCTGTGGTCCTGCACATGGCCTATCTTGGTTGAATGTTCCATGTGTACTTGATGACGATTATACTCTGCTGTCACTGTGTGTCACGTTATAGCCACAGATGTCAATCGCATCAAAACGATACACGCCAAGGAGCAGCTGTCCCTCAGGGAAGGTGTGGCCTCTCTAGACCCGCCTGGCTCACCTCCCCATCCTGTTACCTCCTGGCTCGCTTATTTGTGTCTTTAAAGTGTTTCTTGTGGAAAGCATATAACTGGACCTTGCTTCAGTATTCAGTTTGACAATCTCTGCATTTTATCTTAAGTGTTCAGATTATTTATAGGCAACTATCTATATGGTTAGGTTTAAATCTATCATTTTGCTATTTATATTTATCCCACCTGGTCTTTATTCCTTTTTTCGTCTTTTCCTGTCTTCTTTAGATTGAATTTTTTTTCCATTTTATCTCCAGTCAAAATAATGTCTTATCAGCTATACATCAATATTTTTGAATGCCTACTCTAGGGCTTATTAATAGGCATCTTTATGATATAATACTCTACCTTCAGATATTACTATACTTAGTCATGTAAACCTTAAGAACCTTTCAACAATATATATTCATTTTCCCACTCAACCATATCCAGTTATTGCCATACTTTTCACTTCCAAATGTTATAATTCCCATAGTATGCTCCCACTCATGCTTTAAGTAGTCAGTTATAACCCTCAGTTAACAACATCAATGGAAAATAAGACAAGGATATCTGTTTTTACCAATGTTATGTAACATGGTATTGGATGTTCTAACCAGAAGATTTAACACAGAAAAGACATACAAATTGAAGAGGAATAGGTAAACATCTCCTTTCACAAATGACATAAACTGATATGTAGAAAACCCTAAAGATTCCACACCAAAACCCCCTTGTTAGAGCTAATAATCAAAATTCAGCAAAGCTGCAGGACTTTTGTCCACACAAAAACTGGTTGTACTTCTATGCACTAAAAATCTGAAGAGAAAGTCAACAATTCCATTTACAATAATACCAAAAGAAAGCTTAGAAATAAATTTAACCAAAGAAGCAAAAGACTCAAACACTAAAAACCACAAAACATTGCTGAAAGAAATTAAAGAAGGCATAAATAAATGGAAAGACATCCCATGTTCATGAATTGGAAAATCGATAAAGGAATATGAAAAGGCTGTATATTGTCTCCCTGCTTATTTAACTTACATGCTGAGTACATCATGCAAAGTGCCAGGATGGATAAATCAGAAGCTGGTATCAAGACTACCAGGACAAATATCATATACGAGGGCTTCCCTCGTGGCTCAGTTGATAAACAATCTGCCTGCAATGCAGGAGATCCAGGTTTGATTCCTGGGTCAGGAAGATCCCCTGGAGAAGGAAATGGCAACCCACTCCAGTATTTTTGCCCAGAGAATCCCATGGACAGAGGAGGCTGGCAGGTTACAGTACATGGGGTCACAAGAGTCAGACACGACTTAGTGACTAAGCCACCACCAGATATGCAGATGATACCAATCTAATGGCAGAAACCCAAGAGGAACTAAAGAGCCTCTTGATGAGAGTGAAAAAGGACAGTGAAAAATCTGACTTTCACCATTTAAAAAAACCAAGATCATGGCATCTGGTCCCATCACTTCAGGGCAGAGAGAAAGGGAAAAAGTGGAAGCAGAGACAGATTTTATTTTCCTCAGCTCCAAAATCACTGTGGATGGTGACTGTAGCCAGGAAATTAAAAGACACAAGTTCCTTGGAAAGTAAACTATGACAAACCTAGACAGTGTATTAAAAAGCAGAGGCATCACTTTGCCGACAAAGGTCCATATTGTCAAAACTATGTTTTTCCCAGTAGTCATGTATGGATGTGAGAGTTGGACCCAAGGAAGGCTGAGTGCTGAAGAAATATCAAATTGTAGTGCTGGAGAAGACTCTCGAGAGTCCCCTGGACAGCACGGAGATCAAACCAGTCAATCCTAAAGAAAATCAACCCTGAATATTCACTGGAAAGACTGATGCTGAAGCTCCAATACTTTGGCCACCTTATGCAAAGAGCCAACTCACTGGAAAAGACCCTGATGCTGGCAAAGTGAAAGTCGCCCAGTTATCGGACTCTTCGTGACCCCATGGACTGGGGCTCACCAGGCTCCTCTGTCCATGGAATTCTCCAGACAAGAATACTGGAGTGGGTTGCCTTTCCCTTCTCCAGGGGATCTTCCCAACCCAGGGATCGAACCCAGGTCTCCCACCTTGCAGGCAGATTTCTTACCATCTGAGCCACCAGGGAAGCCTGTTGCTGGGAAATGCTGAGGGCAGGAGGAGAAGGGGGCAATAGAAGATGAGGTAGTTGGATGGCATCACTGATGCAATGGACATGAATTTGAGCAAACTCTGGGAGATAGTGGAGGATAGAGGAGCCTGGGGTGCTATAGTTCATGGGGTTGCGAAGAGTTGGACATGACTTAGTGGCTGAACAACAACAGTTTTTAAGATCATGAGTCCCTAACCTCTGAGCTGTGGACCAGTACCTCCTGTGAGATCCGCAGTAGCATGAGATTAAAGTGCACAATAAATGTAATGTGCTTGAATTATCCCAAAACGATCCCCCACCCCCAGTTCATGGAAAAGTTTTCTTCCACAAAATCAGTCCCTGTGTCAAAAAGGTTCGAGGCTGCTGGTTAAGATGACACCACTCAAAGTTATGTACGGATTCAAAACTTCAATGGCATTTTTCGAAACAGCAAAAAAACCCATCTGAAAAATTCATATAGAATCTCAAGGGTTTCCAGATAGCCAAAACAATCTTAAAAGTCTCTCCACTTCCTGATTTCAAAACTTACTACAAAGCTACAGTAATCAAGGCAGTGTGGTGCTGGTGTAAGGACAGACATAGAAAAATGGAATAGAATACACAGCCCAGAAATAAACTCTCATATATATGGTCAGTTGACTTCTGATAAGAGCACGAAAACCTTTCACTGGGGAAAGCAAAGTCTTTTCAACACATAATGATGAGAAAGTTACTTATTCACATATAAAACTAGATATCCAACTTCAAATGATTTTACTTTACACCACACTCAAAAATTACCTGGATGAAAGACCTAAATACAAGAGCTAAAACTATAAAAACTGTTAGAATAAAAAACACAGGGGGAAGACTTCAATACATTTAGGTTTGCAATAGTTTTTTTAATTTGACATGAAAAGCTAGGCAAAAAATGAAAAAAAACAGATAAACTAAACTTCATCAAATTACTTTTGTGCATGAAAGGATACCATCAACACAGTGAAAGGACAGTCCACAGAATGAGAGAAAATATCCAAAAATTCTATATCTGATAAGGGATTCATATTAACATCAATCTAATCATGCCTCTAGTCCTAATCTCCAATTTGCAAAAAGACAGGAGGTGGAGGAAGAAGTTAAATGTTAATATGGCTTAAGTGAAAGTCACTCAGTTGTGTCCAACTCTTTGCAACCCCATGGATTGTACAGTCCATGGAATTCTTCAGGCCAGAATACTAGAATGGGTAGCTGTTCCCTTCTCCAGGCGATCTTCCCAACCCAGGGATCAAACCCAGGTCTCCTGCATTGCAGGTGGATTCTTCACCAGCTGACGTACCAGAGAAGCCCAGAAGCAGACAAATCCAGTACATGAAACATTTTATAAAATAACTGGGCTGGCAGGAGTGTTGTGCAGGATTAAAAGAGACTAAAGAGACAACAAAAGACAATGTACAAACTTTGGCTGAATCCTGGATTGTGGCTGAGTGGTGAGGTGACAGCTTCAAAGGACATTCTTAACATAACTGGGAAAATATGTCACATTAATACTTAGTGCAATAACAGTATTGTAGTTACATAGGCGATGTCCTTAAGAAATGCATGCTGCAATAGTTGTAAGGTGTTATGATGTTTGAAGCTTAATTTTAAATCTTTGTGCCCCCTCACAGAAAGAGAGAGAAAGAGACAGAAAATATGACAATGTCAAAATTGTCAAATTTAAGTGGAAGGTATATGAGTGATCACTGTACTATTCCATCCACTTTTCTGTAATTTGAAAATGTTCAAAATAAAAAGCTTAGTGTAAAAACGCTGTGGGCCACTAAACTGTACAACTTAAAATGGTGATTTTTGTATTATGGAATTTGATCTCAAAAAAATAAAAGAGCTGTGGGTATTTGACACTATGGAGTTATTACAGAACTACTTAAACTGCTCTGTCCAGCTCCATTACCATCAACCTGGACATGAACAGCATCCCCTTAGTTCTGTAATGCCATGATGTTGGGTACAGTGGTGATCTCATGTTAAAGTTAGGAGCAATCACAGAATCTTTATACAGAACTGAAAAAATAGGATAAGATAATTTTTATGGTAAAATTATTTTTATATAATTTAATTGCTAATGTTTAAAATTTTAGAGTATTTAGGAGGATTAGTATTTATGCTTTAGGAGGAAGCAAAGTATAATGACTAGGCCAAAAAATCAAGCATAGCCTCAACTGGTTAAGAGTAAAATGTCAAAAGCAAACCAAACTGTCCACACACCTGGGCTGACGGTCAGAGAGGGTGGAGGTGGGAGAGGCCGGCCTTCTTTAATGGCTAGTGTACACTGCTTTGCTGACTTAATCGAATTAATGAAGTCTTCATGCTGTTGTCTCCAGTTAGATTTTCTCACGGGTTGTGGCTGTAAAAAAAATTAAACCAACATACACTAATCTAGGCTATATATCTCACTGTTATAATCTTTTTTTAAAGCTGGGATTTGAATTTATAAGAAACGGAACTGTGAAATTTGGAGAAAAAAAGAGAGTTTGCTTTCCAAAAGCACTAAAAGAGGTTTGGAAAACACAGTAATAAAATTTTCAAGTCACAGTAGTGAGGGAAAATATAAAACAATCACAAAAAACAAAGAAATTACAAAACTTTAAAGGAAGACTTAAATGTAACCTTAAAGTGACTGTCTTCCAAGTTAATTGCTGGATTTAATGCTACTCTAATGAAAATATAAACGAGATTTGTTTTCTGCCACATCTGGAAAGTATCTGAAATACATTTGGAAATCTAAGTGTGCATGATTAAAAAGAAAACAGTAAAGGTGGATTATACTTACATGACATTACATTGCCCTATCAAGCAAAAATGAAAGCAGAGAGCCAGAAAGAGGCTTTCATGTACTGAAGGACATAATCAAGAACAGCAAGGAAGATATTGATAGTACCTTGGACTGAGGCGCCTTCCCCACAGTGGGAATGTCAGTGCCCTGCAATCTTTGTTTTAAGGAATTGAAAGGTTTACGTTTTTTGTTGAAGAGTTTTCTACAAATTGGTCCATGTCTTTCCTAGAAAAGAAGGAGTGGGGATTAAAATTTTTAACATGTACAATCACAGAGTTGGTAACGGCTCAGTGTACTCAAGCAGCCCCCAGTGCAGTGACTGGGCTGCACCTTCGGAGCCAAGTTCATTCTCTAACTCTCAAATCACAGCAGAGCAAATCCATCTGGCTCTCTTCACCCATGTTACACATAACTAGATGTTGTGTTTGGGCAAGGTCAATAAAAGGCCTCTACAGCTAAAGAAACGGACTTAAAATTTGGTCTTACATATTTAACTTAACCACTTGGGCTCAGTGAATAGTTCCAAGCATTAAACAATGTTGAAAAGACTCCGTTTCTAGTTTAAATTGAAATAAATTATTTCTGATATTCAGCTAGGTACTCACTGAAGCCAAGGAAATTTTCTTTACTTCTATTCTGTTTTCTGCCTTCACTGTTTCTAAATTCCAAAAGCAAGTCATCCAGGAATTGAGTCCCAACAACCTTGTTTTTCCATCCTTTTGAAATAACTCTCTGCATACAAAAGTATGCAAAAGCAAGGGGAAACTTAGCTTCTTATACAAGTGGAACCTTTTCAGAAAAACTCTTACCACTCAACATTTCAAAACTGAATTTAACTGGGTTGCTTTTCTACATACAGCAAATCAAACCACTTAACTCCTGAAAAAAATGAGTGGAGAGGTTTCAAAGAAATATTTGAGAACATCTGCAAGAAACAACTGGGACAACCATATGACAAATGAAAAATACATCAATTCCATTTAAGTTATGAAGATATTTTCCCTTAGTGTGTCCAAACATTTTTCATGAAGTCATTTATTTTAGAGCAAACCTAAGCTTATAATATTAAACTTTAAAATATTACAATACTTACAAGACCATTGGCAGAGAAAATGACTCCAGCCAGTAGACCAGTAAAAACTCAGCCTTTCTGGTACAAAACCCAGGGAACCAGCACATAGAGCTTTGCCTATGTTGTTTGTAGTTGTGATTTAGTCACTAAGTCATGTCTGACTCTTTTGCAACCCCATGGACAGTAGTCCGCCAGGCTCCACTGTCCATGGGATTTCCCAGGCAAGAATACTGCCTGTGTACCACCTTTATCAAGTTACTGCACCACTAAAGGATTATGCCAATCTTTGCCTTCCACTCTAAGCCCTCTTCATTCATGGTTATGTAACTCATAACAGCTATCAGTTACTTTGTCCAGACCCAAGAAATACAGGATCCATGAAAATCACTGCACCTGGTGATGAACATGCCATACCATTTTAAAACTGAAGGGGAGAAGAGAAAGAGCAGATCACTTGATCAACTGCTCTTTGCAGCCCAGAAATAGGTCAACGAAGTAAAACTCAAGAGGACTCAAGAATACTTAGCATGTAGTGATCTCTCTTCAAAGGTACCTCCCTAGGTCTCAAATCCAGTCTCATGGGGTGCAGTCTTGGGTTAGCAAAGGCAGCTCCCTGGGGGATTATTGGGCCACAATAGGCCCTGTTAGTTCCCCTTCTAGATCCAGGAAACTCTAGCTGCAGTTAACTAGAACAGATATTCTATTTTTAAATTCCCCAGAGAAATAAAACCTACAACCTCATTTGGTAGTCTTTTGCCCCAAATGTAGTCAGGATTAGAGTCCAAATTCTAAGTTTGAAAACAAGTCTCTTTGATCTAAATGTCCCAGCTAATAGTTCATTATCTTAGATTTAAAAAAAATCATTTTTCTTGGGAACTCCTTCATAATATGGGCAGTTTGTTTCCCTAATTTTGAAATAAATCAAGCCTTTATTCAACTTTATGGGCATCAATCAGGGGACTTGACATGCAGTTAGCTTAAATCTAATTAACAATTAGGTCCTGGAACAGGACTAACACCCATTTTGTTCAAATTACATTAAATCCCTGAAACTGGAGAGTTCTGTCTTTATACGTGGCAAAGCAGGAAACAGAGGGAGGTTAAAGGACTTGTCAGAATTAGTGACAAATTTGAGGCTAAAAGCCAAGTTTCCAGATGCTCCAAATTCAATGTTCATTCCTCTTGACTAGCTAATTTCCCTGGTGCTTTGGCCTTAAAATTTGAATTTTTGATGCTTATAGAAAAGGCAAAAGAGCCAAAACCTCTCAAGAGACGATCAGCTGTGCCAAGACACTTTTATCTGGCTTCCTTTCAGGAAGAGGACCAGATTTAAAAAGCTCCCTTTTGAAGGGGGCAGCATCAACCTACCTAAGTGTCCTCGGGGCCTGCCAGCCACAGGTTATGTACTTTTCTCTCCTTGCTTTCCCTCCACATCTGTCTTTAATCTTTGCCACTGCGGCCTCCTCACTAACTTGACAGTTCATTTAACTCCAATGAAACACATCTACAAAATGTCTTTATGTTTACCAGAACATCTGCTGCAAAGCGTCTTCCACAGACTTCACAGGGAAATAATTCCTGATTGCCATCTGTATAGGATCCAAGAGCACATTATGTTAGTTTCATGGACTTGCCTGCCCAAGAAGAAATGACTAAGTGGGGGAGACCTCAATAGCTTGATATCCTCACTCTCCCCCCATCACCCAGTGACCTCCTTCTCTTAGGAAGAGCCTTTGTAAAACTCACCCATGTTTTCCTAACATAGACTCCTCACTTCACTAAACAGATACATTCCATATGCTTCAGGCAACCACAGTACAATTATTTAATATATCCTTAAAACTAATGTCTAAAGAAAGCTATCAGGCACTAAGTACAAAGCTGCTTTGTTGTTGTTTAGTGCTAGGTCGTGTCCGACTCTCTTGTGACCCCATGAACTGTAGCCCGCCAGGCTCCTCTGTCCATAGGATTTCCCAGGGAAGAATACTGGAGTGGGTTGCCATTTCTTTCTTCTGGGGATTGAACCCATGCCTCCTGCTTGGCAGGCGGATCCCTTACCACTGAGCCACCAAAGAATCTACCTGCCAATGCAGAAGTGGGTTCAATGCCTGGGTTGGGAAGATCCCCTGGAGAAGGAAATGGCAACCCACTCCAGTACTCTTGCCTGGGAAATCCCATGGACAGAGGAGCCTGGCAGGTTACAGTCCATGGGGTCACGAGAGAGTCGGACATGACTACCTGACTAAACAACAAAGCTGATACTCTAGTATAAAGTCACAAATAATCCAATGGTAACATCTTTAAGATTGCTACTAGAATGAGTGTGCTAAATGAAGGCATGCCAATGTATCATGGACTGTAAGAAATGGGTTGCCTAGTCACTGAATTTAAGGTAAACTTTCCTGAGAAGCTGAAACTCCAAAACTTTGGCCACCTGATGCGAAGAACTGACTCATTGGAAAAGACCCTGATGCTGGGAAAGACTGAAGGCAGGACGACGACAGAAGTTGAGATGGTTGGATGGCATCACTGACTCGATGGACATGACTTTGAGCAAGCTCTGGGAGTTGGTGATGGACAGGGAGGCCTGGCGTGCTGCAGTCCATGGGGTCGCAGAGTCAGACATGACTGAGCAACTGAACTTTTTCCCGAGAATGGCTTTCTCAATGAATCTCTGCTAGGAAACTACCCAAGAGGAAGGAAGCAGAAGAGGATGAAGTGGACCAAGTAGAACCGGTGGGCTTTGCTCCAAATCAGGAAAGGCAGAGCCATTACAATGAAGCCGCACACGAGAATGACGAACGTCACCCCGGGCGTGGTGCTCTGTGTCAGAGCTCTTCACGGGGCCTGTGAAGAGGACTCACTGAAAACATTTTATATGTAGCAGAGAGTAAGTGAAGGACTACAATAATATTAACTACTTGCTATTATTTTTCTAAAAAATATTCAATTGTTTTGAAAGTGTTTTCAAAATTAAATGAAGAATAAACTCAAATATCTAAAAAAAAAAAACAAACTGTCCACTCTGTCTCAATGCCTCAAAGTGCCTGATACACAATAAGTTTCTCAATAATTGCTTGTTGGATATATGGGTTAAATGAGAATTGAGTTTCTATCATAGGACCAATTATTCATTCAATAAATAAACACCTGTTATATGCAACTCTGTGGGGATATTGAGAGAAACTATACATGGGTCCAGCATAGAAAAGGAGAGAAGGCATGCCCATAAATTATTTTAAATGAAGTTGGAAAAGCAGACCATTGTGGAATTCTGGAAAAAAAATTTTGTTTCATATTACTGCCTTTCAGTTCATCTGGAGTTGAGCATAAAGACTAAAAAATCAGGGACTTCCCTGGTGGCCCAGCAGTTAAGACTCTGTGCTCCCAATGCAGGGGGCTCAGGTTTGATCCCAGGTCAAGGAACTAAGATCAATTAAAAAGAAGATCCTTCATGCCTCAATTAAGACCTGGTGCAGCCAAATCAATAAATTCATAAAACATAAGCAAATATTTAAAATATAAAGATCATAAAAAAGCAGTTTGATCATGGGGAATATTCTATATTAGACTAACCATCTGGCTAATCTCTATTATACAAATAAGGGGAGCAATCGAGAATACTGAGCAGGAAGAACCTGGATGATGCTGCAGAAGATTCATGTGACAAAGCTGAGGAGGGATGAACAGACGGCAGTGGGGACGGAAAGTGGGATTTCAGTTAAAAAGCTAACAGTGTAGACCTGAAATGGAAAGGAAAGAGGGCATGAGAGACACCGTGGTCAAAGAATCAATAAGATGACTGGATCTGGCGGATACTAGGTGACGACGGAGGGAAGAATGTTGAGGGACTGAAAACACAGTAGGACTATGGAGAGAAAGAAATAATTCAAAAAGAAGGGACATCTTGTAAGAAAAATGACCTCAGCTCTGGAAATACTGAGTCTGAGAGTCATCCAGCCAGCAGGATGGAGAGGAGGGAGGTCAGGGCTAGAGACACAGATGTAGGCTTTGTTTGGAGAGTGATGTAAAGGCATGATATTGCCAGGGAAGAGGTCATGGAAAGAGAAGTACAGGGATGATCCCTCGGGAACTCCATATTTAAGGGCCAAGAAGATGATGGTGATAAGCCAGGAGAAAGCAGGAGAGAACAGGGTCATGGAAACCATGGGAAGACAGTTTGAGAAAGGAAGTCTTGATTAACAGGAATCAGATGGTAGCTCATTACAGACTGTTGATTTAAATGATTTCTTCTCACATCTGCCAGATGGTATTGTATTAGAACACAGGTCATCCACTGCAGCCATACAGAAATACCATTCTTCCTCTCTGTTCTTTTGGCCTTCTAACTCTGTAAAAACTAGGTCATGATTTTCTTTCCTCAGCAAGGCTGTCCCATTCCTCCACATACTTACCCATTAATAAAAACTATTCATCCTAATTATAAAACTTTTTTCTAAAACACTAATGAAGGATGCTTTACTTTTATATTGCAGTAACATTTGTAGGGTGATTTCCTGCTCCCCAAATACTTTTCCTACATAATTTCACTTAATCCTCACAACAATCCTATGAGATAGGGTTGTTCCTTTTTTTTTCTTTTCTTTTTCCTTAAGAGATAAGAAAATGAAGGTTTAAGATGAGGTGACTTCTTGAGGACAACAGGTAATAAGTGTTAACAGTGAGACTCAAACTTGAGTCTCTGTCTCCACAAGTATTAAGACTATTTACTCAACCATCTCCATAAACACACTGTATCAGTACTTACCTGAAAAGTAAACGGATGGAAGCCCCTGGAAGATCAATGGCCTTTGGTTTGAATCAGCTGAGTTTTGAGTTCAATGAGTTTGAAATAATGACAAACACAGTATGATTCAACTGCACTTCTGAAACACACCACCACATTCTGAAACACATTCGACTTGGAAGCTTGACAACAAGGAGAAAAGGTAATACACAGAATCAAACGTGGAGATCAATAGAACCTTAGAAGAATCCTGTGAAACAACCAAGATGCCCTTCAATATGCAAATCGTTAAACAAGCTGTGATACATTCACACCCTGGAACACTGCCGAGCAACAAAAAGGAACTCTGATATACTGCTAACATCCACTGGGTCATAGGAAAAAGGGGCTTCCAGAAAAACAACTGCTGCTTCTTCACTGACTACGTTAAAGCCTTTGACTGTGTGGATCACAACCAACTGTGGAAAATTCAAGTGATGGAAATACCAGACCACCTGACCTGCCTCCTGAGAAACCTATATGCAGGTAAAGAAGCAACAGTTAGAACTGGACATGGAACAACAGGCTGGTTCCAAATAGGAAAAGGAGTACGTCAAGGCTGTATACTGTCACCCTGCTTATTTAACTTCTATGCAGAATATATCTTGCTGGGCTGGATGGCTCACAAGCTGGAATCAAGATTGCTAGGAGAAATACCAACAACTTCAGACATGTGACGGTATTACTCTAACAGCAGAAAGCAAAGAGGAACTAAAGAGCTTGCTGATGAGGGTAAAAGAGGAGAGTGAAAAAGCTGGCTTAAAACTCAATATTCAAAAAACCAAGATCATGGCACCTGGTCCCAACATTTCATAGCAAATAGATGGGGAAAAAGTGGAAACAGTAGCAGATTTTATTTTCTTGGGCTCCAGAATCACTGTGGATGGTGACCTCAGCCACAAAATTAAAAGACATTTGCTCCTTGGAAGAAGGGCTATGACAAACCTAGACAGTGTATTAAAAAGCAGAAACATCACTTTGCTGACAAAGGTCCGGGTGGTCAAAGCTATGGTTCTTGCAGTAGTCATGTATGGATGCAGAATTGGACCATAAAGGCTGATGGCTAAAGAATCGATGCTTTCAAACTGTGGTGTTGGAGAAGGCTCTTGAGAGTCCCTTGGACAGCAAGGAGATCAAACCAGTCCATCCTAAAGGAAATCAACCCTGAATATTTACTGGAGGGACTGATGCTGAAGCTCCAGTACTTTGGCCACTTGATGGGAAGAGCTGCCTCATTGAAAGAGACTCTGATGCTGGGAAAGATTGAGGGCAACAGGAGAAGGGGGCAACAAAGGTTAAGGTTGGGTGACAATATTGACTCAATGGATATGAGTCTAAGCAAACTCCAGGAGATAGCGAAGGATAGGGAAGCCTGGCATGCTCCAGACCGAAAGGTTACAAATTTGACACAACTTAAGAGAATGAACAACTACTGATATATAAAACATGATTCAATCTCACTGCTGAGTGAAAAGTTGTTCTCAAAAGGTCACATATGATTCTATTTGTAAAACATTCTTGAAATGACAGAAGTTGAGATGGAAAAGAGATTAGTGATTGCCAAGAGGTAGGGATGGTCAGTGAGGGAGGTGGAATGAGGAAGACCTTTGGGTGGCGGGCTAGTTCTCTATCTTTATTGTGGTGTTGATGGTTATGCATGTAGTAACGTGGCAGGGAAACACACTTGATCGAGCCGAGATGTAACGGCATGGAACTACAAACGCTCGCTGTACCCGTGTATACTTTCTGGATTTAATGTTGGGCTTAACATCTGTAGTCAAGGTGTAACTTGGTGGAAACTAG